GAATGTTCCATTTTTGTGTAAAATCCGTTTGAAAATAATGTTAAATCACCGGGAATCGAAATTGCCAATATTTTCTATCGTAGCGGGTTGTGAAGAACAAAAACGCGTTTGGTGTCATTTACATTGTACAGTTATTTACTTTTTGCCATATTGTTATTTTCAAAGAAATTTATTATTTTTAGTAAATTATTATTTGACAAAGTAAAAAAAAATTGGAATTATTGAATTATCACACTATTAATAAAACTTATCTTTATCGCAATAGTAATTTTTATAGCAAATGCTCTAAAAGATTTCCATTTTGCTGAATACATTTTTCAACTCAACGTCGAATTGCCCGCAGAATGGCAGAAGTATTCTTCTGCCATTCAAACAAACGAGAAACTGAGTAGGTCCAAGTAGTTGGTCCCCTAAAATTCCTGTCCACACATTTATTGCAAATCTATTTTGAAAATTTGTGCGCCGTATCGTCCATGGATTTCGGAAATGGGTATTATAAATATTTGCTAGCTCTAAATTCGTAAAATGTTGCATTTTCGACTGATAACAATTCGCAAAAAGTAAATAATTAAACTAACTGTTAATGTAAATGATACCAAACTTTGGAAAAGTCAAAAAAGTCAAAGCATAAAAAAGTATTGCTAAATTTTTACCCTGTATACTATTCAGTGCTATAAGAATGTTTTTCCATTTCTATTCATATAGTCTTCAATATTATATCTAATACACTAATCTACTTACAAAAATTTCTGAGGTTAAAAATTGATGACTATTGGAATGTAGTATTGAACAATTGGACTAGTTGCCACGTTGACATTTAGAGAGACATTTTGTTCTCTTCTTCAGAAAAAAACTCAGGAATTGAAGGTTAAGTCTTGATGAGAACTTTACTGGTCCATGGTGTTCTAGTTCATGATTTCAAGTCACAAGCCTGTGAAATTCCAGTTCTTGATTTTAAGTATGAGTCGTTTCCAAATTCCTTTCCAAAAAAGAATATCTAAGACCTCGCCTCCTTCAAAATTATTTTGGCTTTTTTGGATCCCAATTACTTCTTTATAAACTTGTTGCCAAAATCCTCTTCCTCTTACTAGTTTCTCAGATTTATTAAGATTTACTAGTACCTTGTTCAACAAACTCTGATTTTTTTCCGTCGTTATTCTTTAGGTAGGTTGTTGTTCCTTTAACCTCGTGTTAGCTTGTCTTCCTGTTTGTCCAATGTACAGTTTGCTACAGATTCATGGGATGCTGGGTATAACGAAGCCTTGGAGCACATCTATCTGCTCGTCTTGGGAAAGACTGTCCCATTTTTCTTGAAGACGGTATTAATATTTTGTTTTTAAAAAAGCTGCCAATCTTAGCAGTACATATTTACATATAGGTGGAGTACCTTCCCTTATTTTTGTGTATGCTACTGAGAGCTGCTCCCTTCTGACGTAGTTCTCCATCCAAGTTTTCTAGCTCACACATGGGTTGAGTTGGGTTGATGGTACCTTGTTTTTGGTTTGAATGCTAATAAGTATCAAATATCTACCCAAATTGGTTGGCATTCGCATTGCTCGAAGGTGTCATTGGGTTTTGGTCTGGTTAATGACATATAGAAACAGAAGAGCACTATTTTTCTTCCAACGCCAAAGAGAAACCAATAATCAAATGTTTGCTATACAGACAAACAGATACCTCTTTGTATGGGTAGGCTTAACTATATGGAATTCCCAAACTCATATGTAAAAATCAAAGACCGGAACATCACATGTAAGTAGTGACCTCAAATCTTGCACCGAAACGCCGCGCCATGTTCATAATTTCCTCTCGGTGTTTCTTAAAACGTCAAGTCTAAACTGATGACGTGGCAACTGGAACGGAAAATATTCGAAATGGGACAATTGCAGCTTGCATGAAAATTTTATTTCTTTTAGAATTGCATAAATTTGTCTGTCATCCACAACCAACAGCAGCTAACAAGTGAAAATGAAATAATTCTTTACTACGAATTATAGACGTTTAAAATTATTTACAATTTAAAATTTAGTGCTACCGAGAACATAACCTGCTTCTTGGTCGCCTATCTACAATTCCCGTGTCGACGACAGGGAACCTAATCTAAAGAAATGCTTATTGGGAGACTCCAAACAAAGTAAATTTGGATGTTACTAGACTCTTGTTACTTACTATGCTTATACAGTCAGACTGTCCTTACCCTGTCATTCATCTTCTCGATTAACGATCGCACTAAATGACGCCACGAATTAGCGCCCCGTTTAAAACATTTATTTTGCGCATTAAACTTTGATATTATTCTAAGAGATTTCTAATATTTTGACTAGGTTTTGATTATATACGGTTATAGATTAGTATTTCTAGACATTTAAATATATATATATATATGTTGCCCATTGTTGGCGTGCAAATCTAATCAACAACTATTCAAACAAATTTTTTAGGGCATGCTAAGGAAATTAACCTCGTAAAACACATTATAGACCGCTTATTAGTTTCAGTTTCGATAATGATACATGATGAGGACGATAAATAAACGGAAATTGATTGATAAGTAAAAATATTCAAGCATTTGCTATATTTTATTCTGAAAACTATTCCGGACTAGAGTTTATATAAACTGTTTTGCATATTACTATCTGAAGGAAGTTCCTTTAAAGTTTGTCTTATGTCTATCCTGAGAGCCAATATTTGTAGCTAACGTAAGTATATCAAATACAAGCAGTTTTATACTTTTATTTGTGGCGCTTTTTCCGTTTGAATAGGTTTCCCTTAAAGAATTGTAAAATTTAGACTTTCAAATAAGAAACAAACAAATTTAACAAGGTTTATTTCATTATTTTAAATTCCATTTTTAGTACAAAAGCAAAATCCCCTCAATAACTCGTTTATTGTTGTAAGTTTGAGTTAACAAGCTCTGAAATTAAAGATGGTTCAGATAGCAGCTTCATCATGGACGAAGAAGACCGGAATATCGTCGAAATGGGAGATAGAGAGAGAAGAAAAGGAACAAGGGGAGAGGTGCAATTTTTCTTATGCCGCAAATCTGAAATTGCTGTATATAATAAGGTTGGTTATGTAACGTAAATTGACTTGCCTTGGTGGACTTTAAATTCTCTCGACTTTAAATTTATCTATTTAATTTATAAAATAAACAAGACAGATATACCTTTGTGAGAGTCCTTTAATATCATTAAATAGGTTTTAACAGAATATTTGAACCCAGCTTGGGAATGAATCAGGATTAGAGATGAAATAAAAACAAAATATAATATTTAATACTGGATAGAATTTATATGAAACCACAAGGTTGTACTAAAGCGGCTGCCGAAACATCTCTTAAATGTCAAATTTACCACCAAACGGACTCAGATCCAGAAATGTGACGTGGTGCATGAAATGGAGTAAGTCTGCAGTAAAACGACTGCCGAAATAGATCTACTCCCAAATTATTTGGAGGGTTACAAACATCCCCTAAATTTTAAATTAAATTGCCACTAAACGGACCTAGACCAGACATGCGATATGGTGCTTAAAATAGAGCAAGGCTGTATTAAAAATACTGCCAAAACAGATTTACTAGCAAATTATATGGAGGACTCAAATTATTGGCTGCAATGTTTTTTTTTAGAAATATTCTGAAAAAATTCTCTTTAACTAATATTGAAATAAATGAAATGAAGCTTGGAAATCGATATTAAGAAATCGTAGAGGAAATTTGGACCATATATAGCCTCACTATTACTCTATTGTGTGTTAAAATTTCAATTAGTTTCGTTATTCAATTTTTTAGTTATTAATGACAATGTTGAAAAAATCACGGTTTTCTACCTACAAAATTATCTCTCACTTTAACTTTAATTTTTTTGTTAATTGATAAAAAAATTCCAAATTTTTACAGACGATAGGTCGAACTATTATCTTTAGTACTGTGAAGGTCATTTGCTTCAAAAGCTCTTCTTTTTTTATTTTTAAGCAAAACAGAAGGGAGTGCTATCTCCGTAAATATTGCATTCTCTAAAAAAAAAAACAAACCGACTCAAGTAGCAAATCATTGTAAACAACAATCGGAAAAAATGTGTTAAAATAGTAGGTACAGTTATAAAGGCTATACTGTATACCCTGCATCGGATCGTGAACGTAATTGACCATTCCGATACTGTTTTTAAGAATATCATATTTATAACTGTACTATTTTAACAATTTTTTTGTTGTTAGTTTTTCTCTTTTTTTAAGGAATGCAATATTTACTGAGATAGCACCTCATTCTGTTTTGCTTAAAAATTAAAAAAAAAGAAGAGCTTTTGAGACAAATGACCTACACAGTACTAAAGATAATAGTTCGACTTATCGTCAGTAAAAATTTGGAATTTTTTTATCAATTAACAAAATAATTACGACGAGTTAAAGTGACAGGTATCATTTTTGTACGTAGAACACCGTGATTTTTGCAACATTTTCATTAATAACTTATGATATGAATGAATAACTGATATAAACATGTTTTTGTTTTTTCAGGATTTCTGCAGAAATCTGTACAGATAAAAGGAGCAGTATTCGAAGATGTATGTTCCTAGTACCTAAACGTTGTAAAAAAAATCGTCCGATAGGAGTATATTTTTGATGATGCTTCAATCAACGTAGCTACAACCAAATTCATTTTTCCCTGGCGAAAATGCATGTTTGTCCCTCTTTTGTTACAGACCGACAAGCACTTTTTTGTTAAGTAAAAATAAAAGTATTAGTATTTTCTGTTAAAATTTTTTGTTAAAAAAGTTTCCCCTCCACCTCCTCCTCGACTTTTTTTTTGCTCCATTTTTTGTCGATTTTTAACAAAAAAGATACGTAGAGTAAACTTAATTTTTTCTCTTTATCTACACTAACGTGCAATATATCTAGACTGAATGTGGAGACACTAGGTTAAATGTATACTAGATTTTTGTTGTTTTTCTCTTAGTTTCATGTCTTAACGGGTCGATAGAAAAAAAAACGTATCGGTTTCAAAAGTTTTATTACGTCTTTGGTCAAATCATTTGGTATAATAATTGAATACATCTTGACAATTCATATTTGTACTGTACACAAAATAATAAAAATTGGCACCTATTTTAAATATATATTACAAAACAATACTTACTCGTAATATGTACAATAATCATCTATAATAGAAACAATTAACTTGAACATAAAAATGGCAACTGTTAGATATTTATACTTAATAAATAAAAGATACATAATTACTTTAAAGGGGGATGCGCAAGCCAGTGGATATCCCCGTCTTGAGATTATTTATGATTAACCTTGTAATAATAACATTTATTTTTGAAAACAACTAGTTAGTACAGTGTAACAGAAATAGGAGTTTCGTTATAAACATTGTGTTCGCGCTTTCAGCTTATTTCTGTGACGTACCGACTATAGTATACAATATCAACTTTTCCTTATCTATATCTAACAAATCTATGTACAGGACCGAATGGTTCTTACGAGGTGCATTATATTGACATTTCAAAATATAGGGATGATTAGGTTAGTTACATCGGAATTTTCAAGCTATGTAATTAATTGGAACGCATTTGAAAACAGTATGACTTTCCTACAACCAAATTCTTGAAATAAAATGTTCAAATAGGATCATTAATTTGGCACACATTTAACTAGAAAATATTTGATTAATTGGTACTATTTTTGAGATGTGAACTAATGGAAAATATATTTTTAGTATCGTGTATCTTGACATTACCATTTATTGCACTGTTCATATTTCCGTAATTTGTACTGTTGGAGTCATACTGCTTCCTAGTATTCAATTGACAGAGTTTAGAAACACTCTGTATATACATACCATACATTTTACGTAAAGTCGCTTGTGAAAGAAACAGTTTCACGACGTCCTATGTTCACATGATTTTTGTGAGTGTGGGATTTGGTGAGACTAATTTATTTCCTAATAAATAATTTCAAATTCGTCTCGGAAAAATGGAGAAAAAAATTATATTTTCTTATTTATATATTATAAAATTTATCTTCCTTCAAAAGCGACCTTACGCGGTTGCATTATCTCCATACTAATATTGCACAAATTACTAATAGTATACAACTTGAGCATTGGTAGAAAACGATAATAAAATCTCTAAATATGTACACCATAATCGTAAATAAAGAGGAAAAGTTGCAAGTACTTTTCATCCTGTAACAAACCTAATGCATGCGGAAGAAACTGTCTGTCTCTCCGGACACAAAAAATGTTTCATCACAGTCATTCAATATTTTCAGCTAGTCGCCCCTAACGAGAGCGGACCGTTCTTGAGGTGGCTTGCCCCTTGGAAAGGCTGGTTTGCCATGGAACTTGGCGGTGGTTGGCCTGACCCAGACATGTTGTTGTTCAAATCACCGTTAGATGGAGGTAATGGAGGTCGGTGGCCGTTCAACAAATGGCTCGGTAAGGAAACCTGGAAAATAAATGTAATTTGTTGAACTCTGTTGTACATTTGGGTGAGATATACAATCTATGAATGGTATGGAATGCCTAGGCTTTCAATGCGGCCAAACTGGCAGAGAGCAACCTGCTATTTCGCAGATAATATGAGAACAAGCCCATAGGTGAAACAATTTTTTACTGATGATATTGCGAGGATCTACTACCAGGATTACACCATTTACCAGCAGAACCACCGGACATATACTGGTTTCGAACTTATTAGTTCTCATCAGTATGTCGACTGACAAATAATCCAGACACGGAGTTAGTAGATATAGGTGAGATATAAGACATAAGAAAGCGCTAAATTTATTAATAGGCTATCAATATGGCCAATATGGCAGAAAGCACTTTGTTATATCTTAAATCTTACCCATAGTTACTCCATGTGTGTAGTTAAAAAATCAAAAATAGCTGAATCATTAATTGGTACGCTCATTCATGACAGATGAGCTCTAATAACTTTGCAACCCGTATTTGCCTGGTGGTTCAGCTGACGAATAATCTTAACTGTGTCCTGCAATATAATCAGCTAAAAGTTGTTTTATATTTACCATTTTTGTAGATCAATAAATTGTTGAAATAGAACTGGTTCTAATTTAGTTGCTATATTGGGGATTTTTGACAGTATTATTCAGGAGTTGACAATAACATTTAAAATTTTTGTTGTCCACCACTGGAACATAAGTCGAGAGGCTTAGTTGATTTCTTATGTGAAATAAATATGTCTCGAAATACTATACAGGGTATTTCAATATTTATCCGACTGATTCTAAGAGTAAAAATAAGAGAAAAAGTTTATTTGACCATAGACTCGACCAAAGAGAGCTTCAGGAAGGTGAGCTTATGAAATTTTTTTTTAGATATTTGTGAAGCAATAAAACTTTAAACCAATTATTACTTTTAGAGTCCAAACTAGCTAAATTTTGTTCTACTTTTGTTGTACATGAACTTTCACTGTTTCTTCTATCCTCTGGAGCTGGAGGGGAGGATCAAGGAATTATACAATAAAACTTATCTAATAGTAAGTACGTAATTTAATTTTTGTTACTTTCTTCATTTTAAGAAAAAATATATAAAGTTAATTTTTTCGCAATTATTTATTTAATCACACCTTTAAAGAAATAAGAAACACGCCGTCAGGTGTGGTTAAATGACAGTACATTCATTTTACCGAAAATTTGTGATTTCTTTAGTCCTATTTTTCAACTTACAGGTGGTATTGCTGTTTGTCTCTTGAGATGCGACAGTGGTGGAGGATTATACGCCATATTGGCAAAGACCAGACGTTCCTCATAGTCGTATTCGCATAAGATTTTATTTTCACACAAATAAAATCTATCCCCAACACAAAATCTGTAACAAAAGAAAATAACTTTATTTGTTTCAAATGACATATTTCTTTAAAAGGATATTAAAAATAAATGTCCCATTAAAAATAATATAAACTAAGCTGTTTAAGGTCATGATTTTTAATTTATTTTAGGAAGAAAATTTTATATCAACGTAGTTAATAAACGGCTTAGTTTTGAAGATACAGGGTGCCCAAATTTTAGAACTATCGCAAAATATAATCTAATTGTAAGTTACAACCTGCATTTTCTTCATAAAGAAATACGAGCAACACGATTAGAGAAAGCAACTAATTGTAAATATAACATTTACCAACTAGTCGATAAAAAATTATCAACTCGGTCGTTAGCTCCAGCTACTAAATTACAAAATAGATTATGGTGGATCACGACAATATCTATCTGTACATTTGGAAATGTACGAGCAAGGGTCTTTTATAGACATTTTAATTGCTGTTCTAAATCATACCCATTACGCATTCAGCATCGCCATTGTCTCGCAATGTTGAATGCTCACGAGTGAAGCTGCGCCGAACAAATAACGAAATTTAGTAAAGGGTACATCCGAGGTAACAACGAGAAGTCTGTATATTATTGTTATTATAACATGTTCATATTCAATTTAATTACAATATATTTAAGAGGTATCTAGAAGTTTGAAATATTATTTAAGGAGCATATAAAAGGGAATCTTGAGAATGTTATTACATTGGTAGTATCTAAAAATTCCTAAAAAGGTATTGTTTGTTGTGTGAAATGCACAGGGTCTTCCTTCACATTCAATAAAATAATAAAGATACAATTTTATATTCGGCAAATTCAGATCACAAACTCTAATCACAAATTTACAGATCGGAGACAGGGAGATCCACTCACCCTACACAGCAGAAGGCGAGTGGCACTAGCTGATTTAATCAGCCACATATACGAAGACAAAATCAGTGCTTTAACCCTGCAATTCGTGATACCAGAACCACTTACTCCCTGAAGCCTCAAAATATGCTACAACTTTACAATTAGTGGAAATGTAGGAGAAAAAGAAGTATTTTACAAAGACCGTCCGAATATGAAAGACGACAGATACCAAAGGAAAAAAGCACCACTAAAAATCACTAGCTTGTGGGTAACAGTTGCAACGACAAAGAACAGACGCGGAACGCACCAGGGTTCCAGGAAAAGGTCCACGGCAGATTGACGCCAAGGACCAGATACTTATATCTGCGAGCGATTCCACTCCAAGACTCATTTTTTTCAACTCATTCACAACCGCCTTCAGATGGATTCCTTTGCAGAATCGGATCCAATACAAACCCGATAAATGTAAAGTGGTTGCAGGTTTTGTGGCGTTGCAGGATGTCCCTTCCATTTTCCATTGGGGATACTTGATTATAGGATTGATTTTTTCTTCGTATATCCAGGAAATGCCTGAAGTATTGGGAAAGTGGATCATATTGTGTGGTAGTGTCTTTAGGCCTTAGGGGTGGCTTTCTGGAGCAAGGTGATAGAGCGTTTCACATAGCAGATTCTTTTTTGGGGGGGCTAAATGCTTAGGTGTATAGGTCTCATCCGTGCAACAGACCACTTTTTCTTTGCGAGACTGTATAATTAATTATAAATTTTATGGCTCGAATTAATCGTGTTGCTCTTAGTCTCACTCTCGAGAGGGACTCATTTATGTAGTTAGCAAACAACAATAAATCCTAGAAAAATAAACCGCTTCATTCATTTAGAAAATTCGCGTAACTTCCGCAGAACTGCCCGCCATAAATTGGGCTAATGCGGATATTAATGACTCATTAAAAATAATAATATAATTTGGCGAAGTCGGGACTCCATTCGTAATGTTTTTAAATTAAACACATTGTCCAGACCAGGCGGCCGCCGTCCCAGCGCGCGTCCTATTGTGCTCTCTTTCTGCCGTTGTTTTGCATTTCGTTTTCCAGTTTGTTGAAATATTACAGTGGCCGTCCATGCGAAATAATCCACTTTTATTGTTTGCAATTATTAATATATTTAACTGCATTACGAAGCGGTCTGCGCGATATATTGTCATGTATATAATTGCAGTTTTTGTTTCCGATTGTGTTTTATTAGCCTATTGTGCTTTTTATATTAGATTTTGTTTTGTTTCGGCCGGCATTTGTTTTACGTTTTTCGGATAATTTGACAATAAAATGATTGTCCCTTTCAAGCGGAACTGTATCGCATGAAATACTGTTTTTGTTTTGAATTTTTCATGATAAACCGGCTTGTATAAAATAAACACTACCGATATTTCCTGTTTTTCGGCCGACCGTTATTTCGTACACAACGTTTTGTATTTGCAAATAATAACATTAACCACACATTATTTTCTGATAATTACCATTGAAATGCCGCGTTTTTTTAAATAATTATTACCAAATGGTAAACTGATTTGGCGGTATTGCGTAACATGTCCATAGGATACTTACTAATTTTAAAAGAGGAACCAATCAAACAAAAAACAAATACTTGATAGACTGGAGCTTCTAAAGCCTTGTTTACAGACAACGTATCGATTAGACGGTGTAATACTACATTTACTTCTTATAATAAAAACTTGTTAACAACTCATAATAATTTGTGCTGCTAAATAGAACAACGAGAAAAACTGAGATCACATTGAAAAGAATCGCTATAGGTATCTACATTTTTTGTAGGTGTGTAGGCCGGCGTTTTATAGAAGAAATAGCACTTTTAATAAGACAATTATAAAACAAGCAGGTCCAACTACTTCACATTTTAGTAATTCCACCAGCCTCGTTCAGTAACATGTGCATGTTTGCCTCTGTTCTGAAGCTTCGCATCGATCAATTTATTCGATCCGTAACTACTAATTTTCAGTTGTCTTATACCTTGAAGAAAACTTATACAGGGTGTCTCATAATTACTGCCCAATAATTTACCACTTAATTCTATTGCCAAAAATAAGAATACTTTTTTTCATATAAACTGGGTCGAGAAATGCTTCTTAAGGGAGCTACGCCCCTTTAATTGAGGCCTAATTTTTTTTAATATTTCCGAAATGGGTTGAAGGAAAATTATGAATTTTGACATCGTGAACGCTCATTAAAAGTCGAAATAGATCATTAAATTTTTCAAACATTTTAGTCAAGGGCGTCTCAATTGGGGGGGGGGGGGGGGTTGTCGGCTAAAATTTGCCCCAATTTTGATAACATATGATAGACCCTCAATTCCTCTACAAAAAAGGTACTCTAGTTCTTTCGATAAAATGCTCCATTTCCGAGAAAAACGGATTTCATTACATAAAATTAAAAAAAATGTCTTGAATAGTAATCCGGTTTTCTAAGCACTTAAATTAATTTAATTTTTCTTGGTAATGGAGCATTTTGTCGAGAGAAATAAAGAGTACCTGTTTTGTAGAGGAAATGAAGATCTTTCATATGTTCTCCTCTGAATTTGAAAATTTCGACAAGCAAAAAATTTGGGGGAAATTTTACTGACGACCCCCCACCCCACCCAATTGAGACGCCTCTGATCAAAATTTTAAAAAAATTTTTTGATGATCTATTTCGACTTTTAATGAGCGTTCATGGTGTCAAAATTCATAATTTTCCTTCTATCCATTTCAGAAATATTAAAAAAAATGAATTTCTTGAGGCCCCATTAGGAAGCATTCCTCGTCTACCAATGTTTAAATGAAAAAATATATTCTTATTTTAGGCAATAGAATCAAGTGGTAAATTATTGGAGACTAATTCTGCAACACCCTGTATATGTGGTACAGTGAAAAGTTACTATACCACATATACAAATACATTTGACAAATGTACGAAGTATATTGCCATAATTTTATGACACGTCTTTGGTAGTTGTACGTTATTAAAAAAATAATACTAAACAAAAAAGTAATTGAAATATTACCATGCTTATTGCAATCTAAAAGTTGATATTAAGAATAATTCATTTCAATGTTTTGCTTTGTATCTGAGGAAGAGGTCTTTTCTGGAAATAGGATTAAATGAAATTTAAAAAATAACTTTTAATTTGGTAAGTACAGGAATTATCCTATAATCTTTTTTCTACATTAACATACAATTTCAGTAAATACAGTTTTTGATTGATGGACTAAGTCTCGACTCTGGAAGAAGATTTTCATTAATTTTTTTGTCGATTTTTAGCATTTTAAGAATTGCGTTTTTGTATTCCCGGCTGTTCCAGGCTGTACCGAAAAGAAAATATTTTAAATCACAATATTGAAATATTTGATTCAAAATATTGTTGCATTTATTGTTATCCGCCGCCTAACATTTTTTGGAAGGTCCAGATCCCTTTCAAGTGCCCCCTCGCACGGCCCTNGCCTCGTTCAGTAACATGTGCATGTTTGCCTCTGTTCTGAAGCTTCGCATCGATCAATTTATTCGATCCGTAACTACTAATTAACGCTCATTAAAAGTCGAAATAGATCATAAAATTTTTCAAACATTTTAGTCAGGGACGTCTCAATTTTTTTGCTTGTCGAAATTTTCAAATTCAGATGCCAACATATTATGATAGACCCTCATTTCCTCTACAAAAAAGTACTCTAGTTCTTTCGATAAAATGTTCCATTTCCGAGAAAAAAGGATCTAAGCATTTCATTACTTAAAATTAAAAAAAAATTTCTTGAATAGTAATCCGTTTTCCAGAAAAATCGCTTTAAATATGTTATAACACTTCCGAAAGTGTGATTTTCTAAGCACTTAAATCCGTTTTTCTTGGAAATGGAGTATTTTATCGAAAGAAATAAAGCGTACCTTTTTTGTAGAGGAAATGAAGATCTTTCATATGTTCTCCTCTGAATTTGAAAATTTCGACAAGCAAAAAAATTGGGGCAAATTTAACTGACGACCCCCCACCCCACCCAATTGAGACGCCCCTAATCAAAATTTTATGATGATCTATTTCGACTTTTAATGAGCGTTCATGGTGTCAAAATTCATAATATTCCTTCAATCTATTTCAGAAATATTAAAAAAAAAT